CCTGCCACTGCATTCGCTCCCCACCTCACTGCGCCCAACTGATACCCCCCCCAACTATTATTGCTATCATCACTAATTAGTACTATTACCCTTATAGTACTATTGGATAGCTCACATAGCTAGGATCGCTTTTTCCTCGATTTTGTTTTTCTTCCGAATATCATTTTTAAAATCCCCCCCCCTCAAAAAAAAATAAAAAAAATTGAATCTTAAACCACTAATACCTTTGTCGGTTTGAAAATACTCGGCCTCTGACCTTTCAGGAGGCCGAAACGAAACGACGGCCGCTGATCAGATTTATCAACGGCGGGCTCGGCCTCCTGAAAGTTCGGAGGTAGACCAGTACTCGTCGAAAAGAGGCTCGGAGGTACTAGTGGTTTAATGAATTCTTTCAAAATTCATTCGGAATTTACTGAATGAATTTGGAATTTGCAAAAAATTTTGATATCTTGAACTTTTCACTGCCCTTACTTTCCAATTACAAGCGATATTAATTCGGCAATTAATCAGATTTCTTGAGTTTGCGAGGATTTGATCCCTCGGCAGTGCTGGAAAAGGTCTTGCCCGCCCTAAGTGAAGGTGGGCCTGCTAATATGTGCCAAGGCCTGGGTACAGGCCGGTGTGATCACGCTAAAGGGCTGTTGGTATCTATATGCGGGCCTGAATCTGCGCAGCGGCCCTTCTAGGGCTCACCCACATCTCGGCTGAGGCCCCGTACAGACTTGTGCCCGCCCTTAGTGAAGGCGGGCCAGAATATTTACGAGAGGCCTATTTTTGTGAATTCTGCATGTGGGGTATCAGACAGTTGCAGCACGCTAGTTGGTTGCAGGGTAACGTGAGCCTTTCCCTGGCTTCTTCCGGAAGGAGCAGGTTGAGAGGCAGTTGAGCCCAAGGCACGTACAGTTGAGGCCCTGGGCGTGAGCCACCAGAGGCCGACACATCACAGAACGACCACGGGCCAATGAGAATGCAGCATCTTCGTCACACACTGACCAGCAGCCAATGAGATCACGACGAACACTTGTAGCCTCATGGGCGACTTGGGCATGCCCAACCGTAAAGGGCCCAGGTCTGTAACAGCAACTGAGGGCCTGGGCGCAGACACTGGGGCCCGACTGGAAGCTACTGGAAACTCGTCCAGCCAGGGCCAGAGGACAAAGCAGAGCCCACTTTCCATAAAGGAAAGTGAGCACGGCAGCCAGAGCTTATTCTGGCCGTGTTCTTGCTGGCGGCAGCACTGCTGGTTTGAATGCTGAAGGCCGCTGGTAGGCCAAGGTTAGGAAGAGGCACAGCACGGGCGCATTGTGGTGTTGGGCGCTGCTGGTGCAGCGGGCGCTGAGCAGCCGTAGCGGGGCTTGCTCAGCGGAGGCTGGTGATGGTGATGGTGGTCCTTGGGTGTCGGGGATGCACACTGTGGGAAGTTAAGGGGTGATGTGAGAGGAGAGAGAATGTACCTGGTGTATGCTGGCGGTCTGCATTGGTGATGACATCACGTACATTGGCCTCCGACTTCGATGTGATCCAGTTGCATGAACGTAGATAGGCATAGATAGGCTGAGTAGTGTAGGCTGGGCGCTGGGCGCCAGACAGTAGGAGCGACATTGGATACTGTGTTGGTGAGACCAAGAGCATCGACATTGACATATGAGTTCATTGTATTGCTCTTATATGGATGGTACCTTGGTGTATTGTGCTCTCTGGTTGGTACATGACTATCTGGGCTACTTCGTGATTTTGCAATCTGGACTTCTGTCTATGGCTCTTGCTCATATTCCTTGCAATTTTTTTTTATTTTTTATTTTTTTTTAAATCAATTCAAATTCATTGCAAACCAGTGCTGGGCCGGCAACCGGCCGGTTGAGCTACCCCGGTCCAACCGGAGCCGGACCAGACCAGGGGGGGTGAACCGGGAAACCGGTTTTGAAAAAAAAGTGCCCAAATATCTTTTTTTTTTTTTTTCTTGGGCAGATTCGGACTGCGCTCTTCAAGAGCTGTCCGAATCCGCAATAAAATTTTCAAGGTACAACATTTTTCAGGGGGCTTCGAGAGGGGGGCAGGGGGTTATCAT